TGAATGCACAAATGCAATGTTAAATGTATGAGTATATAATTAACAAACCTTAAATGATCTAGGTTCATGGATAGCCAGATCAGAGAGTACTTTTCTGTTTAATTGAATGTTGCACTGTTAAGCCAAAAGTACACAAAACATTCTATTAATAGCCTGCATAAAGCCACCCCCTCCTCGAAATTAAAATCGCAGAGGTAGACATCTATGAATGGGCAATTTTACAGTTATAGAAGGAAGCGAGGCTGGAGTTGACCTTGTTTGGATACAAACCTTCCTGCTTTATTATGTGAATCAAGTTGTTCTTATGCCAACTAGTATTTTTCAAGGCCAATTTCCAGAAGAAAGCAAAGGAGGTTTGTATCAAAACAAGGTCTGAACCTCAGCCTCACATTCACTTGAAGGCCAGGGTGCTAAGCCCAGAGATATGTCCAGGGTCAGTCTTGCTAGAAAAATAAATGACAAAAAAAATGATTCATAAGAAAATTTTGTGGGACACTCACTTGCAAATATTGCAAATCAGAGTAGGTAATAATAATAATAATAATAATTTACATTTATATAGCGCAAACCTCTCTATGAATATATTCGGTTGCACTTTACAATATTATTATATTATTATTATATTTCAGCCAGACTAAAGCGTGAGAATCTATTAAAAACTACAATAAAAAGTATTAAAAACTATTAAAAAAACCTACAATAAAAGCCAACAATTAAATCTATTTAAAAGCTGAATTAGAAAGATGAGTTTTAATGGCAGTCTTAAAAGCGTCCAATGTCTTCGTGTTGCGAATTGCCAAAGGTAATGCATTCCAGAGATAAGGTGCAGCTGACTAGAATGCACAGTCGCCAAGACTTGGATGGGTCTTTATGCCTAGTAACTCGAGGAATATAGACTCATTTGACCTTAGAGAGTACCTGGATTGCTTTTTGATATTAATTAAATCAATTAAATAATTAGGAGCTTGACCATATAAGCACTTAAATGTCAAAAGTAGAATCTCAAACCTTATACGGTAACTTATCGGAAGCCACTGAAGGTGGAAAAGCAATGGTGTAACATGGCAGAATCTTAGTGTTCCAGTGACCTTTTGGGAGGCCATATAGTACACTGTTACAATAATCTGTTCTACTGGTTATAAAAACATGAACTAATGATTCTGTGTCTGAAAGACGTAAATATTTCCTAATTCTACGCATGATGTGAAGATAATAGACAGTGGATGAGCAAGTTTTGTTGATATGACTTAGCATACTCATTTTAGAATCAAACCAGGTTCCAAGGTTTTGAACTTCACAAGATGGAGCAATTTGGGGGTTGCCGACCAATGAGGTGCTGATGTTACTGACTTTCTGAAGTTTTTGTTGCGTTCCAATCAGAAGACATTCTGTCTTATCCGAATTCAGTTTTACCTAATCGGAATGCATCCACTGACTGATATCAGCGATACATGATTCCATGGCAGTTATAGCAGCGGTCTCCTCCAAATCATTTCCTGATCTAAACGTGATATACAATTGTGTGTCATCTGCATAACGATGGGTATTAGGAAGATGTGATTCGACAATCTTAAAAAGTTTGCTAACATAGAGAGACAACAATAATGGCCCGAGACAGCTGCCTTGTGGAACTCACAATTACTCGATAGAACTCCGTCTATATAGATGCACTGGGTTCTGTTAGAAAGGTACGATTCAATCCAATTAGGTGCAGAGCCTGAAATCCCAAAATCAAACCGGAGGCGATCTAAGAGAATCCGATGGTCCACGGTATCAAATGCGGCACTTAAATCAAGAAGCACTAACAACATGACCTTCTGATTTTCCATGTTCATCAAAATGTCATTCTTGACTTTAAGCAGGGCAGTTCCTGAGCTATGGTGCTGTCAATAGACTGATTGCAATGAAGGAAAAAGATCATGCTCATTTAAGTATGACTTAATCTGATCAGCTGCCTCTTTTTCAGCCAATTTTGAAACAAAGGAAAGATTGCTGATTGGTCGAAAGTTTTTAAAAACCAAGTCAAGACCTTGTTTTTTCAACAGTGGTATAACAACCGACTCTTTCCAAATGTCAGGGAAAAATCCTGATTCAAGCGACAAGTTTATTGTAGTTGATAATATCAGAAGTAACTCATCAAGGCAATCTTTTAAGATATTTGTGGGAACAGGATCAAGTAAACAAGATTTTGTCGGCACTCTGAGCACAAGTTTTCTTTAAGAGTCCATGTCTACACGGCAAAAAGCAGTGAAGAACGATAAACAGAAACTGTCCTCAAAGACAAAGGGCAGTACACAAAAATGGAACAATTCATTCCTTCATCTCCTTATGTGGATTCGAGATCCACCCTTAGTAACTGGCTGCTTAACAGCCAATTGGAAAATGGCAGTGACAAATGCATGATGCGGCCTCAAAAATGCACATTAAGCCAGTCAGAACAGTAAACTGTTGTACCACTCTTGCCACGAAAATAAAAACTATGTTGCTCCCTACATGTATGTAGCAGTTGTCAACGCAAAAGGAGGAATGATAACATTTATCCCGCTCCAGCCGTAAGACTTGCATAATTCTAATTAACATGAAAAGGCTTGGAGTTGACTGATGCAAGCAATACTCTTGACCAAGTGACAGTGGAACTTTTTACAAGAGTAGGGTAGCTTTAATAGGAGCTACAATATCATGCAAGCAGTGCTAAAGAGCTAAGACCAGCATGTCAAATCTGCTCACTGTTAAAATAACAACTCAGAAAGCTATGAAAACAAACCCTTATTAAAAGGGTTGTTGAACCGCTTTTATAATATCACTTTGTTTTAAATCGTTCAAGTGCATCTGTCACCTCCCCCCCCCCCCCTTCCCCTTGGGGTGGGGTAAAAAAAAAATACAAATCCAAAAAAAAAAAAAAAAAAATATGTATTTCCACTTATGGATGAACTCAAACTCTTGGTAAGAAATTATCATTTTTTTGGTTTTCTTTCATGTTTACCAGTTAATTTACCCGGTTGTTTTGTTATATTTAAAGCCAACAATAAATAGTAAAAACATGGAAGCTTAAAATGAACTACAAAATACTGCCAACAAAGTTAAAAAGACAAAAACCAAAATTACAAACTTCTCCATTTTAAAAAAAACACTCCAAAAACTATTAAAAAAAACCCTTTTTTAAAGGGGTGTTTAACCCCCTTTATAAAATCCCCTTTTTTTTAATCGGTTAAAGTGAACTTTCACCCCCCCCCCCCCCCTTCCCTATGGGATGGAGTAAAAATAAAATACAAATACAAAAATAACAAAATAAAAGTATGTATTACCACTTATGGATGTACTCAAACTCTTGGTAAGTAATTATCAATTATTTGCTTTACTGTCATGTTCACCAGTTACATTACCAGTATGTATGTATGAATGTAAGAGACACAGGAAATAGAGAATCAACCTAGGTTAAAAAATTTTAACCTCAATTTAATTTTGACCTATAACATAAGACACATAGAAAGACAATTTAACAGATACCCAGAATTTAACTTTACCTGAGCCATTTGATTCACAAACTTGGAGTAAGTGACATTGTGTTCTCTGGTTGCTATGTTAATTCTGCTGATCCACAGCTAAAAAAACAACAGAAGTGAACTCAGTAATGTGCTGTGATGAATCATTTTAAGAGAAAATTCTGCCACTTACTGATCTCATCTCTCTCTTCTTAAGCCTTCTACTAACATACTGATACTGAAGTGCTTTCTGTACTCTTCGTACTGCAATACTATAACAGTTTTTAGAACGTCCGCGGAAACCCTATAATAGACACAGATTATGTCAGTAAACAACAATATTATTAGCTTACACTGTAACTCAAGTTTATTGTGACATGCAAAAACTAAACAGAAATAAAAGATTCAAATCAATTTACCAATAAAAGAAAAGTTGATAAAAAAAATGTTCTTTTAGTCATTGACACAGGTAACGCTCACTAAAAGTTAAAGGTTTCATAGTACATACAGTGTAGTTTAAGTTTTGTAACCTTCATTTGTGATTACAATCAGCTGACAGCTGAGATCATGTAACTTGTTGATCATGTAATCTATCTAGACTGGCTACTAGTGCAGATGCTCTACCAATCTGGATGAAAGACATGATGCAATGGCAGTGACATAGTGGCATAGCTGCTTTTGCATTGCAGAGTTTGAAAAAAAAAAAACACATTAATAACTGAAAAAGGATGGGAAGGTTGCACAAAAAGACACTCAGAGAATTTCTCACTGTAGTCTCCTTTTTCAAGGATATCTACAAGAAGCAAAAATCCTAATCCTGCCGAGAAAATAGCAGAAATTATTATAATTATTATGTTTACAATAAATTGAATGATTCTTCCATAGGTAAGGTTGCTTGAGCTTGAAGGTCTCACGGGCCGAAAAAATGGATTTACACAAATTTTCTCCTTGTAAAAATATGTCGCAAATACATGTATATATATATACTGAGGAGTAAATATAATGGCAAACATGGTAAATGCCACATTTGTCTAGTTATTTACAACCCCTTTGTTTTGGTATGCAAATGTGGCATTTATCATCTTTGCCATATATTAATTTTTTTACTCCTCAGTATTTACATATTTTCGACATATTTGCAAAGAGCAAATTTGTGCAAATCCGATTTTTTGTCCAGTGTCTGTTAAGTGAATAATAAAACAATTGAATCGTAGCTGGCCTGGTGTGTGTGATTAATCCTCGGAGACCCAGGGGCAGTCAGTCAGGCTGGGAGGAAAGGCGCGAATCAAAACTACCTTTGCAAGTGCGAAGATTTTCGCTCTTCTCACAGTGCGGTCCGCCTGCCCTCCACGAACCATTTTGTCCCTCTCAAAAATTTATCAAATGCCCTACTTGCACATGCGGTTCGCATCCGCCATCTTGAAACGAAAACGCCACTACATATATGATACACGACATGTTACCTGCGCGTCCAGTTCGTGCATATCTTTTGCGCCCAACCGCTGATTTTTGTGACGCGAGAGTCCCATGCGAGGGAAAATAATGGCTTGAAAAACTAAACTAAACTCGCTGAGTGCTGTGCAAATGTGACCCACAAAACGGCAAATGCAAGCTCTGTTAGACTGCGTTGACGAAATAGCCCTAGATGGCTTGGATGGTATGGAAAAAATGCAATATTTCATGGCTTTCCTGTTTATTGACGAAGAGGCTTCCAGGCACTGGCTGCAGCCCCTGCTAAACTCTGTTTCTATCATATCAGACAAGGAGCTAATCCAAATTAGAGTATTTGGATTTTGTCCTTTAGTAATATAATAGACCATTTAACAGTTGTGGGTTCAGTGCCCCATGCAGCCTTTGAGTCAACGTGAGGCAAAGTTGACCTTGTTTTGATACTGTTCAAATCTCCTTTCTTTTCTTATGGAAATTATGCTGAAAATACTCGTCAGCATAAGAACAACTTGATTTACATATGCATGCATATATAATAAAGGAGAAAGGGTTGTATCAAAACAAGGTCAACTCTAGCCTAGCGCCATTTCCACTCGTAACTGTGCAATGGACACGGACTAATCTGAAACCATAGTCCAAGCAATGTTTATTTATAATTTATTATGGCTTTCACCTCAGTCACATGCTAAAACCATGCTTGCTTGCTTGGCTAATGTTAATTTACCTAGTGCATCCAATGCTCATTTGCTTGCTTATGTGGAGTTGCTAATAGTTGAGCTCAAACACACTGAATGAAGTCTTTTACTGTGCTAGGCAAAAAAAGGCCATCATGTTTTCATGAATTGACCGAACAGAAAGTGGTGTTTTGAAGATCTTTGTGGTCAGTTCTTGAATCATTTTCTTGGTTTTGGCACGGAATTTTGATGGTAATGTCTGTGAGTTTGTTTTTTGTGATGTGTTGAATTTGAAATATAATCAAAAAATCAAGCCATCACCTTATGCCTCTAAAGTATTGATCTTTTCCTTTTGATGGGTGCATGTGGAACACAAAGAAGAAAAACATGCACTCAAATGAATGTCCTTTCTCATATCCAAATCAAGCAAGTTGCTTATCATTTTCAGTTTGACAAAGGCTTACTTGCTTACTTTCAAGGAGTTGCTTGAGCTTGGTTGCCTGACCTCTTAAGCAAGCATGCTTGGAGGTGGTCTCTAGTGAGGGTGACCAAGGGGTTAGTCAATTCCAAGACAGTTAGTGTAACCACCAGCCCTTCCAACCTCACTCCCAGATGAGACAATTGTTCAGGGCATTTGTCAAGTCCAGTATTAATTCACCATGCATGTTTGTAATCAAAGGTCTAGTTGCTAGTGGCACATTTTTCCTTGTTAAACATCCTATTTTCTGCCTCTTTTAAAAAGGAATATTTACTTTCTCTTCATGTTTTCAACAAAGTTTTCTAAATTCTAAAGTGGACCTATGGTCTTCTTTATGCAAAAGGATGCTCTACTCTCCAAACTCTTCTGCAGTGGCTTTGCTTACATTGTACCCTCTCTGCACTAGACTGTTGTTCATAAAGGGTGGTAATATTTGGACAAAATATCAAATCTCCCTTATTGCTTATGTACTCATATACCCTACAAAGGTATAGGCTGTACAGTTAAACAAGTTTTCAATTTAAACAAAGCAATGAATTATTGTTCTACACAATTCAGCAACATTAAGTGTACGATACCAGTCATGATAAATATGACTATACCTGACCAGAGGTCTGTTTTATTATATATTCTTTCACTGGCTGCAAATATTTGAACAGAACCGTTACACTGTATTCAACTCTATGCCTTGTTTTGGTCAATGAACTCTTTGTTTAAGGACCCATGTTCACCCAAGTGGCTATGCGTGCCTGTGTTTTTGTTTTTAAATGCTTCTTTTGTCAAATTTAGTGTTTTGATTAGGCAGAGTGTTCACTTTTTTCACACTTGGCCGAAGTGTGACTCCACACACACTGAAGATGGCAATTTTCAACTAAACGAAATCATCATTCAACCTGTTTTCATTATTGCCTAATATAAAAACAATATTATACACCTTTTGATAACCATTTTTTGTAGGTTGCCCTATACTGGAGCTGTGGAAGCATCTAGAAGAAAAAACACCTCCATTTTGCCTAAAGTTAGATGACTCTGCAAAACTCTTTTTGTGGAAAGGCATTGTCCAGACCAAAGAAGTGGAGTTTTTTGTACTTGATGAACCCTTGGCTCATTTATTTGATCCTAAATGTGATAGTTCGATTGACAAAAAAATACTTAATGCAAGCAATCCTCTTGATCAGGTATTTATCAGTGTTTTTGGTTTCAAATGCAAGAAAAAAAGAAGATGATGAAAGTGGTGCAATTTGTTATATTTGAGGGTGAAGCATTCAAACAAAAATCAATTGCCATAGTCCTTACTTTCATCAAGAAAAGTCACATTATTTCTCTGTTGGGGGATTTCTTGCATAATAAAATAAAATTTAAAGATGATATGACTTTCAAGGGATGTTTTTTCAGTTTCAAGGTCCTTTAAAAGACAGCAATGAGTTTAAGTTGGTGTCAGAACAAGGCATTAAAGGTTCATGTCCTACCTACTCTGTACGTAAAAATATCACACAAGAGATACGAAGTCAGGCCAAGTATCTGGATTTAGAAGCTGTTTATCAGAGGTATGCTTCCAAGCATCGAATTTGTTAAAGTCAATTCTCAATAGTAATTTTAGCTTTAAGCTTTTAGCCTCGCTGATGGGTGAAATTTTATGCTTGGCTGCTTTAGTTTAACTTGAACTACTTGCAAAATATGATGTTATGTCTTTACCACATTCGATGTATGTTTAAGAAATGTAAAATGTAAAAATAAAAGTGTTCTAGAAGTTTTAAAATCCTGGAAGTATATTTCGCTCCTCGAGCCTCATCAGTCAATAAAATTTTATTGACTGACGTGGCTCAAAGAGTGAAATATATTTTGAGGATTTTAAAACTTCTAGAACATTTTTATTGTTTCCATTTTGCATTTCTTATACTTGCATGAAATGTGGTAAAGACGTGATGTCTTATTTCGCAAGTAGTTCAAGTTATTCGAACACATTCCTAGTCTCCGCATTTACAATTTCTCAGAAATGCTTTAGTTTAGGTACATACATACATACATTTGTAATTTATTCAAGATGCATTAAAATACAATGGAACCTCTATTTTACGAATTCCTTAGTATAATGAGTAATTTTCTGTACCCCAGTAATAGTAAAAGATATGAAAAAGAACAATTAACAAAACATCGTTATACCGAACAAATTTTGCCAGTTGCTTGGCCCTTCGTTATATCAAGGTTCCACTGTATATACAAGGTCTAACAGTTAAAAAAGGACATCTTGAAAGGAAAGTTATGAGGTAACTCCCCAAAATAATAGTCCACTTGAATAAATAAAAAGTCATGAATAATTTATCATAATAGCAACTACAATAATAGTAAAAGGCCATTCTTAGTCAAGCATTGAGATAAAATTTTAGCTTGGTTTTAAATAATTGAAGGCAGCTATCAGCTTCTGCCTTCAACAAATGCAAAGCCACAAAAGTCAAAAGGTAAATTGGCAAAATTAACTTAAAGGAAAGTGGAAAAAAAGTTCAAAATCTGTTCAATAGCATTATTGCTTGAAATAATACTTCATATACCAAACTAAAGAAAGAACTTTTAGTGTTATTAGTGGTGTTTTAGAAAGATTGACATACAGTGTTACAGTTATGTATGGATTGTAAAGCACATTCTTTAAATTTGTAGTTGAAATTGTATGTTCTTTTATGGCTAGAAGGCTTTGAAGGAGTAATTTACTTTCATAATTTAAATCTTATTGTTTTAAAAGTGGCATTTGCCAAGTTTTACATTGCACTAATAATTTATTTAACTTGTATCATGCAAAGTTCTAAAATAAACATACTGTGTCTTGAAGTGTACAAACACTATTCTATATATGTACATACATTTATTTACATACATACATACATTTATTGTTGTTCCCTAAAAGGGCTTTTTAGCACCAATATTACATGTAAAAAAGAATAATAATCGTCAACTTAATATAATGAATGTATAATAATTAATATATTAACATAATATCCTTAAATATTCTCTAAAAATGCACCGTTTAAATGTACATGAGTTAGTTAATGTCATCAGGTGCTTGCTTAATCCATTGCGGATTTTAACCCCTCTTTATAGGGAAAACGATGCTGACTAGTTTCTAAGCGACAACGAGGAATATTTAGGTTTTTTCCAGATTGTGTTACGGTCTCATTTGAAACTGGTCGCATAATTAATTATTTATTTACAAGGTTGTTAAGGCATTTAAACACCCTTTATTTCTAATCTATCTTTTGGACCTTTGTTTCTCACAGATGGGGAGACTGCCTTGTTATGGTGGCTTGCCAAGAGCTCAGAGAGAAAACTCTTTTAGGAGTTGACATTGATCCTAATGTACCAATTGTTGACTTACAATACTGTTTACTGGAACACATTGGACAGGCAAGATACAATGGACGCATGCAAAGAACAATTGCCTCACAATATATGAAAATTGATTCAAAAACAATCTTTCATCATCTGAAAAAATTACGGAAATTACGTTTGATTACTATGCAGGTGAGTATTAAGTACTTGTCGTCACAGCTACAGTGGGTTCAATAGACTTTTTGGGGGAAATTTTCATGCAGTTTTTATCAAGATAGTGGTGAATTACTGTAAAATAATAGAACAATAGAGTGTATTCACATGACGTCATGGCAGCCATATCGGTGTTCCAGAACAATGAAACAGCGGCCATGTTGGTGTACCAAGATAACCCTGTGAGAATTGAACTCTTTTTTTATGTAAAAACTTTCTTTTGTTCGTATAAATATAGGCTAGCCACATGAGTGAATATGTTGTACAATGTCTGTGCATGCATAAACACTTGTGTTAATTACAACTTACTGCAGACATCAGTACATAAAAAACAGCCACACCTTGCTAACGCATAGTACTTCCCCAAACATACTGCATACTGCAGTACCTTCCTTTGTAGTCCACACTTTGGTTTGGCTGTACTGTACACTCAGTACTAATATACAACTTTAGGATCACATCTGCTATTTTGGTTTCTTTTTAGAGTAATTTTACAGAGAGGTGAAGTGTAAGTGCTTCTTTGGCAGCCATTATCTCATTAACCAGTGAAACAAGTGTTTTATTTTAGCATCTAGTGACAGATTGTTTCTATAACAATCTGCTATTAAAAATGTTTGTACAGTGTACTTGAATGTCAGAATATGTAAATTTATTTAAGTCAATTTCTTATAGCAAAATGGCTGAATTATGTCTATAACATATAATTTTAACAATAATATTTTTGTTGATATCAGCTTGTTTAAGTTTATCCTGAATTTCAGACGATTACTTTGAGTTGTTTTTTCCTCTCAGCAACTTCTGAATAGACCGGCTGTTAATGCTGTCCAGTGACGTCACTACTCCTTTGCTTTAATTCATGCAAAAAGTAAAACACAATTTTCTAATGGCAAACAAAGATATATCATCTGGAAATATCCACATGATGCAGGATAATATTGCTTTACTCTTTCTGATTCTAATTCATATTTAACTGTCAACTGTATGCGGTACTCTGAACGAATCTGTTGTAATTCAATAATCTTGATTGCAATCACGCAATGAAATAAGCTTAAATATACACACGGAATACTTCCAGAGCACAACAACTTGCTTTAATTGAGAAGAAACTATTTGGTCCATAACAAGAAAGGAAAGCTTACTCAATCATTACACTTGACAGTGGAAATGACAAGAATGTTGAATTATAACTTTAACCCAGAAAACTTCGCACAAACAGACAAAAAAAAGTCACTGCCAAAACCAAAAAGTGGCTGTAAATGAAAAGCTTACTGACTCTCCACAATGATTATTCATTTGTAGTTCAAATTGTCTGAAATTCAGGCTAATTTAAGTTATTATGTTTTCCAGTGTGACGACATTCAAAATAGACCAAAATGAAAACCAGAAGCATTCAATAGATAAAGTCCTGCGAGGACCCTCGCCAAGATTCTGGTTAGAGGCATATTTTGTATACAAGACATCAAAAGCAATGTTTTACCAAAATAAATTTTATAGAGGTTTATTGTATGGAGACTGGTCAGAGAAATATTTGTATACAAGTATCCAAAGAAATGTTTTACCAAAATTAATTTTATAGAGGTTTGTGTGGAGTCTGGTCAGAGGAATATTTTGTATACAAGATATCCAAAGAAATGTTTTACCAAAATTAATTTTGTAGAGGTTTGCATGGAGTCACCATGCTGGTTTCCATCTGGATGGGCACCGACATGGCAGACAGAAACCAACAGAAACAATCATCTGTTATAGAGTTTTGTTACAAAAGTGTGAATTTATTCTTCGAGAAACACATGAACATTAAAGTAATCTTTATCCTAAAATGTGAACTGTTTAGATACATGTAGCAAATGCCTTGAAAGAAGTCACTTTTTTAACCTGTATGACAGCTCTTCTCAGCCATTCATGTAAATGCTGCATCATGCAAAAGCTTAGAAATTCAAGCGTACTCTACCACAAATCCAAGAACCCATTTCAAAGTGAAAATTTGTATGAAAATTAGTTTTCACCTGCTCTAATATACATCATGAAAGAAAAATCTCAGTAGGATTGATAGTTTTTTAGTTTGAATTTTACTTGTTGTTATGTGAAAACCAACGGTAGGTAACATATAGTTTAAGTATAAAAATTTTACTTAAAATTTTCCTGTTGCAGCAACTTGTAATTACTACATCTGATCAAAGCAAACCACCTCTAAAGCTAGGTGTGAGAAACTTTACCACTAACATAGTCAGACTAAAGCGATTTCATGTGCAACAACACCACAAATATGATGTGCTGGCAGCCAACCTCTGCCAGCTATTACTAGATTCACCAAACCAGGAATTACCACTTATGGATGTGCTCAAACTCTTGGTAAGCAATTATCAATTATTTGCTTTACTGTCATGTTCACCAATTTGCATTATTTACTTTTCAAGTATGAAAACAATCAATGCTTAATGACTGGATCTGCAGAGATCAACCCCACAGTTACTCCCAAAATTCAGTGATTAAGTTATTTAACACACTCAGCACTAAGCAAAAGCTCCAAGTCCAATTTGTTATGGAGTATTGTATCCAAAGGATACCCCATTAAAAAACCGCTAGAACGCTAGCACGAACCGTTAGACCATTAAGACAAACCGTTACCCATCTGTTACCTATTTGTTAGTTTTCTAACGTTTAATGGATTATCGTTAGTGTACGTTTTTGCGTGAGATGTCACAAATGAAAATCTTTACACATTTGTGGTAAAGCTGAAGATTATTATGTTAGTGCCAAGTGATTTTTGGTCATAATTATCCCCTGCTGTACAGTGTAAGTAATAGGCTGTCAATACATCATAGTAATCTTTCCTGATAAAGGCATATGTAATAAGCAGATTCAATTCATCTTGTTGATTTACAGAGTGAGTCTAAGAGCATGATTAAGAGAGTAAGGACATTTCTGCAGCAAGCAGGATACGTGGTTGAATCAGACAAAAGTGGAGGGACAGGTGATTCATGCAACAATGAAAGCCCTCCGGAGAAAAAGAAGAAGAAAAAGGAGCCAGGGACTGTCACAACAGGCATTAAATTGAAGCTTATTAAACCATTTGTGCTAAAAAGTGCTAGCGTTTGGCATCCTAGTGGTGACGAGGAGGAAGATGATGGTGATGGGGAAGATGATGATGATAATGATGAAGATGGCATTGATGATGATAATGATTTTGATGATGATTCTATCAGAAACCATGATAATGATGATGGTATGCTACACTGTCACAGTTTTGTTATGCCTCATAGTAAAGCTTTGTCAGTCTTCTATATCTTGTCAATAATGCAAATTTAAAACTGATTGGCTACTTCCCCATTCTGTAGGCAAACAATGACATATTTAGCTCAAATAATCATTATTTGACTATGTATAATAATAATTATTGCCTGTATTAAAGGCTACCTTTTTCTGCTCAATGTAGATTACAATTCAAATCTTGTTGCTGAGAAGCCTTTGTTGAACCAAGTGTATAATGTCATCTGGCATGCAGGATCCCGTGGCTGTACTCTTAAGGTGGGTTTGTTCAGGCATTGGAAACATTAAAGGATAATCTTGCCACTTGCCATCTAACAGTAGGACAAAACAACTTACTGTTGAAGACTTTTTAACTGCTAAAGTATTGTTAAATGGGTAACCAATCAACAATACCCATATATTCTCAGTGGACTCAGTTAAAATATATATCACAGGTCAAAATGAAATTCAGGTTGATTTTTTTCAACTGAGGTTGATTCTCAGTTTCCTTTGTCTTGAGGCCCTAGGCCAAGAGCTAGGAGACAAAGAAAATTGAGAATCAACCGAGGTCAAAGAATTTTATTCTGAATTTCATTTTGACCTGTAACATATACATATTCATTCATACTTTGTGATGTGAACATTGCAGAAAATGTTCAAGTGTTTAGGGAGCATTATGGTACTTACGGTCTGCCTGTGAATAAACCAATTTATGAGATCACAATGTTCATAGTGTGTGACATTATGTTGCCTCAGACGGTTTGGATGGTCCACCTGAGCTTTATCTCATTTTGCTCTTTTTGCAGAAAATCCAAAGGCTGTGTAGGCTTCCATTTTTTGATGTCAGACTTTTTGTCAAAAAACTAAAGTCTAAAAACTTAGTGCAAGAAGTTTTTGAAGACATTGCCAAAATAAGAGTTGTATGGTAAGTGTTGCCTGATTTGCATGCATTACTTTTTGTACCATGAGGGTAAGATTTAGACAGTACAGCACAGCACAGCATACACCTCTTTGCTTGTTCAAAAGAGACATTAATGTCTGTTTTGTGATATATTTATCCAAGGGTCCCATGGATACTTTGACTTTGCAAACAGCATCTTCTTTGTCAACATATTGTTTGGACAATAAACAGCATCCCCATGCATTCATCTGATTGCTTAACGAAATGAAGGACAACAATAAAACATCCAATAATACTTGGATGATGACTTGCATGTTCACTTTGTTTGTTTCAGGTGTTAAATAATTTTCTGTTTTTACTGATATGTCAAGGTTTGTGGCAACTCCATTTGTAGAAAGCAATACTCAGACAGTGAAAGTAAAACAAGTACAAGATCAGCTAAAGCATATAGAAACAAGGGCTTTGGATCAGACACAAGACCAACAAGGATTAATATCAAAAGAAATATCCCAACCATCATCAAGTGGCCACCATCCAGCTACAGCTTCTGGTTTGTTATTTTATTTTCATTTTTTTTCCCTCTTTTTTTTTCATTATTTTTGATCATCAGCACAGAATTTCATATGGGACAGTTGCAATGTACATATCTGTTCTCGTAAATAAGACAGTTACAATATTCCCTGCTAACATTACTCTTAGATACAAAAATGCAAAGGAAAATATATCAGTGTGTATTTTGCAAAGTATTGAGCATGACGTTTGTGACCATTATTTTGTAAATTTGTATATAGTTGGTGGTAGTCCATAAATGGTGGTTTAGTCAGCTACATTAAACTAAAGTTTTTTAGTTGTAAAAATACTATAATAATTTTTAAGGCAATCTTACACTTACCTTTTTATAGCATGCCTTGATGTATATTATATTTAACAAATAATAATTTTCTCACCAGATTTACTGGATGTTAAAGAAAGGAAAGCAGTAAAGGGTAAATCTCTGCTAGGTAGGAGTGATTAAGTTTGTCTTACATATAACGTAGCCCCAGAGCTAAGTAAATCTATCCATCCTAGAAAATTTGGTAATCACCTGACTGTACACCAACTGCCCGACCAACCGACTGACAGTCCGACTGACTGTCCAATCGACCGTCCGTCTGCACCACAGGGAAGCCAATGTTTAATCTCACACTTTCTAGCTAGTTTGGGAGCCCAGGTGCAACCTGATATTGTCTATCCATATTGTGATCAACTGGCAGCTGTCAAAACAGGGTATATGCTGAACAGTATCACCTGACCTTATCACGGGCTCAGGTATCTACTCATCAAGGTCAAGTATTTTCTTGAAGTCATATCTACCGACAAGTTACTAGTCTTAAAATGATCGCAGGCTCAAGTTCAATTTGTTTTAATGCATAGGAAATAAGTGGTGTTTATGAGCTGCACTAGTAAAATTTTGATTTCAAACTGGCCTTGGACACAAAAGTTCAGCCAGCTATAACAGGCAGGAAGGCAGTTGCTTTTGAAATTTCTTACCATGGTCTCCACCAGACTTTTACGCTCTGATTGGTCAAAGTTTAACAGGTGAGTTCATTCGCAAAATATATGCAGCATCTGGAAACTTGTTTATTGACAGATAAGGCTGGCAGAGGTTTGCGTCATCTTGTGATCCGTTTTTATCTGTCTTTTTCCACTGGATGTACAAAGTGAAATGCAGTTGCTATCAAGATTCTGCTGTTATTCATGGCTGGTTTGTTTACTGGCTTTTTGGTTGGGAAATGTGCGGCTTGTCAAAGTCATCAGCGATTTCGGATGGCATCGTTTTCATTTTTCACTTTGCTTGCTCAACTCACAGCTTGCACAAATTGGCGCTTGTCAAAAGTGAGAACTGGATGTCCATATAGGTGATATCATACCACATAGGAGCAGATTGCTCTGACTGAACAGTCCTGACATGAAAACGTTTTATAAGGTGGTACTCAAAGGAAGTGCATGCTCCAATCGTCTTGCCTATTGAATGAGTGCAATTGGTCTTGTAAAATGGTGAAAAACTGCATTCTGTCCGGGGTCTGCCTCATAGTACTGTACTGTACTCGGATGTGATGGATGAAAAGTATATTAGCACTAGCCGTTGGCTAGGAAGTGCAGGCAAAACTTCTTTCATATGTAGGTGAATGCCTTTCATCTCGCGTCATGGAAACTGGATTGAACAACACAGTAAACAAGACTCGTATAATTACTTAATTTAACAATTTTATTTGCAGTTGATTAGATACAATTAGCCTGCAATATTTCTGAAGTGATCAGCGAGGAAAGGCGTTTGTATTTGATTCGCCGGAAAAGATACATTGAAACAGTAATGCGTGACACAAGTAATGTGGGTATACAGTCATGCACAAAGTCTTGTTATTCAATTGAATACTCAATCCATGTTCAATGACCAAAGGCCGTTGATATGCGATATAATGAAACAGCTTAAATTACCACTGGAGTTTAAGCCTTATTAAAGCTTTCAGATGGCAGGCGACCTAACATGCTTGAAAACAAATAAAAATATAAAAACCCTAAGAAACCATGCACCGTAGTGAAACCTGAATAAACATTATAATTTACATCAGTTTCTAGAATTTGCTAGCACTCGTATCTCACCAAAAACTTATCCCACACTAAGCTGAGATCAGGCTCTACTTTTATTTTTATGGGTAAAAAGATTCCAGGCCAGCAAGGCGAATCGAAAAGTCTCCCATTTAGTGTAAAACTTGTGTACCTGAATTACCTGTGCTAGCAAATCGAATGTGTAATAATGATTGTTGCACCACTTGCATATACATTCACGTGATTACTGTGACTTCAGACGGGCCTTGAACTAAACACCAGGGCCCGGTTGCATAAAACGCCCGTAACAGTTATGGGTATACGTACGTGTACTCGTAACTTAAGTGAGTTGCATTAAATCGTTTACGTGGTTCACTTAAGTGGCTGCACTTACGATTTTCGAAAGTATCCACTTAAGTGTCATTTATGCAACAGAAATTGCGGGTGTTGCATAAAACCTTTTTTACGGGAAAATTAGCACTTAAATTTACGGGACCTATGTAGGTCCCGTATCCTTACTGTTTTTACTAAAGTTAGCGAGATCTTTTACCGAGAAGTGAAAAAAAATTGTTTTTTCTTTACATAATTCCGTTCTAATGCACTTTGTTAACCTCTGATGTACAATTTAAAGCCGTTGTTAAGAAAACAGAAGA